ATTTTTTTTTTTGCAGCAGTTTCTTTTCCGGCTTCGATTTCTTTGGTGGTCGTTTTCTTTCCTTTCCAGTTTCTTTTTGGCAAAATTATTGTTACTTGAAAAAATGAAAGATACTAAAGGATCAATTGATAACCAACGTTTTCGATTTTCTTAGTTTCACAATAAAGTTTTTTAGCAATGATTTTAACTGATCTTCTTTGGTAATGGAGATAAACTGATTTTTTATGTTAACTTCGGTGAAAGAAGGAACAGCAAAAAATTAAAGAAAATTAAAAATAAAAATAAAAATTGAGGAACAGAATAAGTGACAAAGTAGGAATGAAACTATAAGCGGTTACGTAGAACTAATCGTACCGGAAAAATTGAAGGAAAGATGATGAAAAATGTTGGTGAACTTTGCTATACTATGGTTGTGGAAAAAATCCTTCTTAACTGCGAAAAATTCAAATTTTGTGTTTATTTGAAGCAGTAAAGGCTGTCGTAAATTATGGGAATATCTCAGGAATATTTCGACAAGAAACTCCCACGAAGAGCAGCTGGACTGAGTCTACGATGCGTAGAAGGATAAAAGGATAAAAAGAATAAACCACTCGACGTTGATCAATCCCTAAGGGATGTGCCATGCATTCTCTTCAATTTCTAATTTCGTTTGAGGTGATTGAATGCATATCTGGCCTTTACAATGACTTGCGGTGGCCTCACGCTGCAGTGCCACTTACACTCCCAGACAAGTCTGAGACCTGTCTGGTACCAATTTACCGACCCCGGAGGGATGGGTGGCTTGGTGAGCCATGAGAGCGAGATCGAACCATTGACCTCGTTTCGACGCAGAGCACCTCTAACCACTGCCTAGAAGGATAAGCACCCGAAACTGATTTGTCGAAAGCGCGAGTTGCTTCACCAAAACCATTCCAAACCTCACACGACCAAGAGGACTAAGGAAAAGTTTGATGAAATGGAGGGATTCGAGGGCTTCCCGCACCCAGCCTACAGTCCAGATGCTGCGCAGTCCGATTATTGTCTTTGCGCTCAATGGAAAATTCTCTGCTTGAACGCCGATCCGTGACATTTGATCAGGTTGAAGAGGCACGTCAGGAGTTTTCCGATTCGAAACCCAAGGATTGGTATTTCGAGCAGATAAGGAAGCTTTCAAATCGTTGGCAGAAGATTGCCGATAATGATTGTCCTTATTTTCAAGAAATTTTAATTTAATTTATTTTTAGAATTCAAATTTTAGGCGGCATTAAGGGACTTTTTCCTAAACCTAATATTGTGACTACTGGTATTGAAGCAAACAGAGCAAGAAAAAGAAAAACACAGCGACAAGAAAAAAATGAGAGTAGTGTAAAAACGTTAGATAGCTATACAAGAACGATGAAAAAATTGAGTTCTTTTTCATCAAGCCTCATAAAAGTCAATTATCTGCGGAAAAAAATTGTAATTAGATAAACTCTTCGATATCCTGAGGCACATTATTTGCTACTGTGATCGACAGCAACTCAAGAAACGCATTTAAAGAATAGAAAGTGTAGGCAACAAATTCTGTATAATCAAAGAAGAACATGAATGATACTGAAAATGCTTTTGTAAAAACTATCAAAAATCTTCTTGTAAATTATTTCTCGATTACTAAAAGTGAATTGATCACAGCAAAAGGCTATAGTATTTGTGTCGTATGGCAATGACAATGCTCGTCAAATTCTCGATTGGTTGTCATTCGCCGAAAGGCTGGAACATGGCACTTCCCAATTTAGTCACTCACCGTATTCCTTAAGCAATGCCGCGTCACATCGTCGCACCGCCGCTTTCGCGACACGAGAAATTCATCCGCAATTGGCCAGCGATGGCACCGTAAAGGTACAAGAGTAAATTTACTTATACAGTGATTAATATTTTTTCGAAAGTGAAGAAACAATTAGTCACGTCCTGCGTCATTCATATCTTAGCATTTCAGCTCTATATTATGACAGGTGCATTTTATAACACGAAGTTGATTAGAAAACGAGAGATATTCTCAACAAGAAGCTCTGAAGGAATTTGATTTTTCATGAAAATAGTATAAGTAAATAGAGGGATTGAATGTTATTAAAAACGACTTCCTTTCTTAAACTAATTTCATCGATTGCGGACTGAGAGATTATCGCATTAAGGTGAGGGATGCTTTTCACTCGGTGCGTAATGTTCGAATAAAACGAAAGACTTAAAGTTAACGAGCAGGCGGGAAGATTACAGAGTTTTATAAGCACTTTCTCTTTAAAGAATCACAGCGTAATGGGACTCTCCTGAAAGGTTTCCAGCGCTCACAAACACTTCTTGGTAAGGTAATCGTTTTTTCTTATAGAATTCGAATTCTTCAACACACTGACAAATGTTAGTAAATCACGAAGGAATAGATAAGAAGTGAAAATCCTCTATAAATGACATGCTGTCGATTGTGTCTGAGAGAGTAAATTATGGCGGAGTTCGCCAGTCGAGTCAGTGAGGCAGTCTTCCCGGGTCTGCTAATGGGAGCGTGGCAACGGAAATTAGTGAACGACCCCAGCACAGATCACCACTCGGGATAAGAAGAAACGGCCGCAGAAATAGCAACACATTGAAAGCAGTAGGAATAGCTGAACAGTAACATTATCACCAGCAGCAACAACAGAAGCAGCAAAAGCGGCAAGAGCAACATCAGTACTAACAGCTACAACACTAACAGTAGCATTACTAGCGAAAACAAAAGAAATCCACTGACACAAATAATAATGATAACCCTAGCAGTAGCAACATTAGCCTTAAAAACTAGCGACAGCAACAACAGCAACCGGTGACAGCAGCAACAAAAGCGACAACAACAGGAGTAAACACTGCTCGTACAGGTAAGGTCTTATTTGAGTACAATATTTTCGATTATTCTCAGAACTAATCAGACTACAAGAAAGTGACAATATGAGGACGGACACGCACATGCCACTTGATTGATTGGGGAAATCCGCTGATGGAATGAGTGAAAGCTGTGCAGAAGGAAATCTGACGAAGACAGGATGTAGCCGCCAGTATAATTTTGTGTCAAATTGCCTTCCTTCACGCCTCTCTGCCAAGTGCATAATTGGATTAATAGAAGGTGGGCTAGCGTTGAGCTTACGAAGCTAGAAGAATATTTTCATTTGAGTTTCTTTGAGATTGAACCTGTCAGAGGGAATGGCATGTTACTGAGTAAGGTTATCAGCAAATTATATTTACGTACATTTTATAGAAAGGGCGACTGACAAGGAAGTAAATTACAATGAAGATACTTCAAAAAAAATAAACCAGTACACAGATTTCTACTCAACCGTTTTTTCGGAGTTCTTCAGATTCCAATTTTTCCTCAGGGAAAAAAAAGAAATGCGGCAGCTTTTTTTCTTTGAAATTGTTATCGTTGTAAATGAATTGCTCAGTTATAACAACAACGATAATAATAATGGCGCATATTATGTTGAAATTCCCAATTACTCTTACTTCACTGAAAAAGTGAATCGGGCTGGCGATTATCGTTTAAGCCCATGATAATACGCCTGAAATTTCAGCTTAACCTCCACGTAATAGCTAATTCTACAGGCAATTCGCGCAAAATTTGACTAGAAAATGTATTGTGATAATGTTTCAAAAAACATTCGATACTTGTCGAAAAGTTGTGCTGCCCTATAATCATACTATTCGACTCTTTATCGAAGGTTATGTCATCAGTTCTCATTAAGTGGACCAGTAAACATTTGAAAATCGATGTACTAAGTCGTTTTCCTCTAAATAGGAAGAAATATTCCTGGGCACAGTATAGTCTCAGAAAACACTTATTTTTGAGTGAGATTGAGACTACTGTCGTTCCAGGGAGCGAAAACGATTGAAAACCGGGAGTCGTTTTGTTCTTGTCAACAAGTACTCAGAACTTTTCACTCTTCAACGATTTATGTACGATTTCTCGTATTTTCATATGTCACGTGTCCCATTAATATCAAACTTTACATTTTAGTGAGATTATTTACAAGAAAAAGCAAAAAGTTGCAAAAAGTGGAGATGTGATGTCAAAAATGTCTATGACATAACTTTCCAACTCTCTCTTGAACTTTTACTTCAGATAGTGAGTTTTATGCCGATAAAGGAATAAAGAATTTTCAATTAATGACCAAAACGATACAATCGTTTCGAGTGAAACCCAAGATTTCCATAAAACGATAGGCTGAGGAGGCAGTGGTGGCAATGGAGGTCGGCACGAGTCGGCTGTTGCTGGAAATCGTCACCATCCATCATCGATGGATTTCTCGACGTCGTTTTCGCAAACTGACTTCGTTCGTCTTCTCATTGTGTCGTTAACCCCCCAATCTCCAAATGAATAATGCATGGATATTTTCGTGTCACTAACATTCCGTCGGAACTTCGTGAGCGTAAAATTACTGCAGGTACTTATGAAAACGAAAAGCATTGTGACTGCAGGCAATTTTTGCAAAAAGTCAAACAGAAAACCCGTTCTCCAGATTTCGGGTAGATAATGGTTGACCGAATCGCTTCAGTATCGTAGGACTTAATGAAAATCAAAGTTTGATAGGGAGGACAATGAAGGGTGAACTCAGATGTATGAGTTCTATTGGCTTTCCACATCAGTGAGTCATATCATCGCTCACTTCGCAGAATTTTCAAGAATCAGTTACGTAATTCTCTTCATCAAAACCTCGTCATTGAGCGATGAAGGCATAATAGAGAAAGGCTAGAATCAGATGCGTACTGTCCGAAAATGATGAGCATTAGATCGATCAAAACTTCTCAATGGTGTTTAGAATTAAAGATATTATTATTATTATTATTATTATTATTATTATTATTATTATTATTAATATTGTTATTATTATTACTATTATTATTATTATTATTATTACTACTTTAAAGAGTGATACTTCAAAATTCTAGTATTTTACTGCTTTTTTTCATGGTGTTATGGTGTACATATATATCTATGAGAATTGAATGGTGAGCAAAAACACGGCCTCAGACGGGAATCGAGCCCGTGTTTCATCCATACCGGGGACACGTGCTACTACCAGTGCACCAGAAATATGCATCGGTGGTCTAGTGGTAGTAGCACGTGTTCCCGGTATGGATAAAATGCGGGCTCGATTCTCGCCTGGGCCATGTTTTTGCCTACCACTCAATTCTCTTAGGTACATGTGTAACTTTCAAGAGTACCTAACGCGATCCGTCGTCACAGTTCACTGCACGGATCTGAACACTTCTAGCATTCGACTCGCCATCTTGCAGTCATCCTCCACAAACGTCTTCGAATACTTCACGAGTTGTTTTGATTGCTCGTTGAAAGTGATGTCTTCTTCATGAATGTACTGAATGGTAGTCGATACGATTCTTCTTGATCATTAAAGTACTTTTACTGTTGGTATTAACAATAATAACGACTTATGGCTATTATGATGGTTTTTCAATCTCTCGATATACTTTCAATATTGTCTGTGAAGATGTTCTGAGCCTTTTGAGGCTGATACGTCAGCGGCTTACGGACACTTCGGCGGTTTCGCCCGCCTCATCAGAGCCACACGCCTCACTTCTCAACCCTACTTATAGTAAGGATGAAGAGATGTGTTTTTGGTGACGGCACGTGATTGTGCTTATCACCATTTTTTAGGCGACGGCTTACAGCTGGTGGCGAATGTGTAAGCATCTCTCCAGTCGACTCAAACTTTGCTATGAACATTCTATTTCAATAATCAGTAAGAACGCGGTTCTTAGTGATTCGGAGGAAACGAATGAAAAATCGATCTCATTCGATGAAGAAGAGCTTTTCACAGGAGTGTTGGTAACCATTTGAAAGCTGAAACTTGTGGCTACAGCCTCACTTCGCCGCTTTTTCGAAACACTCCTTTATAACATGGTAAGATTCAAAATAAAATCATGTTTTGTGGTAACACGTGTTTTTTTTTTTCTGTTAACAGGCTTATATCTTGTTGAACAAAACTCAGAGTGCTAGTACTCAAACTATAACACAAGCTTCAAAGATTGAAGAATCTGTTTGCTTTTTGGAAAGCTCTCCTAATCTTTTGATCTCCTACGGGCTTTGATCTGTGCTCCAAACCTCGCCTGACAGAGCTCTTTCTTCGGGTTATTAGTAATCATTTGATAGCTTCATGTTTCCTGATTCCAGATGAGCGCTTATTTTCAAGAAATACGATCTAGCAGGGAAAATTAGATCGAGTTCTACATTTATGGTAACGTTGTTTACGGGCTATTCGACAAGGCTAAGGCCGTGGGAAGGGGCACGGCAGGGGCGGGGTGAGGCGGGACAACCAATATTTTGTTATTCAATTGGTAATTTTTTCTCCACTCAAAAAGAAACTCTAGATAAAACAACTGACGAAGATACTACGTAAATTTCTCTACACATTGACATGCTTTTCGGCTTCCAATGAGTTATACGCGTTAAAAATGAAGGCAAAAGGCGAGTGTAAAACATAATTTGTGATCTAGATGCTGTAACGTTTTAGAATGTTTTGAAATCCGGCGATGTAGCCTCGATTCCGGATGAAGGCTTTGTAGACAGTGATGATTCTCCGAATCGCACGTTCATCTTAGAGTTACACGAAAGCATGTGAATCTTCTTTGCTTGATAGACTGCTGGGAAGTTGAAGCGCTTGTGGAACATTGTCCTTTACCTAAGAAACCATTTACCCGACTAATTACGGTTTCAGCACACTCTAAAACCGCACTTGCTTCTGCACCAACCTATTATTACATCCTTCCACACAAGTCTGATACCAATTTGACTAGTAGAAAGGTTATAAGGCTTCACTAACTATTTTTGTTGCAGTATAGGCCCTGCATGCATTGAAGGACAACTCTAACCCCTGTGTCACACAACCATATGCAATCATAATTTTAGTACCTATCCGAGCAATTCAAGCGTTAAATTTGCATTAATCCTCGGCAAAACTCTGCAAATATTTCACGTCTTTCCTCGGCGCGGCTTGAAGATCTCCTTTCTTCAAAGATATCGTAGAATCTGGGTTAAAACATTTCGCCTTGAAATCTTGGAAATAGCGTAGCAAAACGTTCCCTATGGTGTTCGTTAATCGACAGCAAGAAAGTGTTGAGGGAGCTTATGGAATCAACTCCTTGTTTATCAACTTGCTGCCTGATACACTATATCGCTTTGAACTGCACTCAGTGGCAAAAAATACCACCACACGCCATAACATTGAAAAATGACCTTGACAATATTACCAGTATAATTCTGCCGACAGTAATATCACCTTGGTTTGACAGTCTTTTTTCCAAATTCCTAGCATCAAAATAAATGACATAGTAAATTTTACGAGATATTGTCAGCTCGAATTTCAACACAATCTGCTCTATCCAACGTAGTTAAGAGTTCGAACGATTATTTAAAAAATGAAAAAAATATCTAAAAGAAAAAAGTCTAATGAGGAATTCTAATGTGAGGTAACAATGATCGATCTACTATGATTTGAATAGAGGTTCGAAAATAATGAAGATATTTCGGAAAAAAAGATTGGTGACGATCGAGGGATGAAAGACTGAGTTTGCCTGCCTGAGGCGAAGATGCAAACCATTGACCACATGTGTACTGCACTGCACCTCAAATGATTGCGCTATTCCTGTCGGTAAGAGAAGGAGCAATCTTTAATCTTTCATGGCTTCCTGAGCTAAAATGGAAAGCTAGCACATGAAATCATATCTTACCTTTTTTCACCGATTCAATTATGAAATCAGAATGATTCTCAGATACCCTACCACTCGACTGTTTTCAAAGGTCACTATAAACATTCAATGTAGTCTGTGAGAATGTTTAGGGACTTTCCGAGGTTGGTACATCAATAACTTAAGCACGTTTCGGTGGCATCGCTCGGGTCATCAGAACCACACGCCGAACGATGAACGGTACTTTATAGCAGGGACAGAAAACGGTTTTGGTGATAGAATGTGATTCAGGTTATCACCATCTAAAACAGTCAATTTCCTTTGGTTTGCAATGAATATGTACTCTATACTCTGCTATAAAGTAGGGTTCATTGTGGGGGCGTGTGGCTATTATGAAGCGAGCGATACCGCCGAAACGTACTTAAGCCACAACGTGCAAACCTTAAGAAGCTTCAAACATTCTCACACGCTTTTCATTTAATTTTTGTGAGGTTCTACGAACCAATTTTCGTCCTTTTCTTAGAAGATTGACATGATATGACTATATCGTAAGTAAGAAAAGAACTTTGTAAAAATAAGCAGTTTTTCTCCGAGGAAAAGGAGCAGATAATCAAACAGTGTAGAAGTTAGAAGGGAAATATCCGAAATATCTATGAGAGCCGAAATCATTCTATATCGTACTGGGATTCAAGAAAAATGAAACAGTGGCATTTTTGAGACATTTTTCTATTGTTTAAGAAAAAAAGAATGAAAGAAAAAGATGTGGCCTTGAAAGAAGGATCAGTTGATCGGAGCACTAAAACGAGTGTTCAATCATGTCTGGACGCCAGAGTGCCTATACGGTCCAGAATGTATTAACATTCCTTCGATCGAAATTGCAGCGTTGCTAGACACAATTGAGAAGCCAGAACTTACTGATTATTGCCTAGTCCATGTGATGCAGTTATTATGTGTAACATAGAATCGAAGTAAACACTTATAGCTATGTGGAACAGTTAATTTTTCTATCGTTTCTCAGTTACCACATTTCAAGTCATCGCATTCATTCTAGTAGATACCGTGTAAAGAGTCGAATTTCAAAACTTTTGGAAGGATTTATTTTTCTAGCTTCGTCTTCATAGTAGCAACTTTTCTCAACATTATCGCCAGCGTTTCTTGTACAATCAGATAAGAAATTGCCGGCAGTAGTAAAATTTTTAACGTATGAAGACCTCAGAAAGTAGGGAGTATTATAGATTTACATGTTTTCATCAATATCTGGACTATTATGTGTTTTGCGACAGATCTGTTGAGTTCATCAAGTCGATAATGTTTGTCTCTTAGAAGCAGAACAATAAATAGATAAACAAACGGTATAACTAAATCTTTTACGACTTATGCTTGAATAGTCTAATGAAGGTCCTTGTAGTGAGGGTTGGAAGTACCATTCGATATAAACATGGTCGCTAACGCTGTCCTGCTCATGGCAAGGAAATCCTGTTCTCCTCTGAACTAAGGCAGTTGGTACGAATTTTGACTAATACAATAAAAATACTGCTTTGATACGTCAACATGCCACCCTAAACTCTCGTATAGGTGAATTATATATTTATCACTTTTTGATATACTGATAGAATCGGATGAACACCGGATCCTTGAAGAAACAATCACTTTATTACTGTTTTTGTGCGAGATTGTTAGTCGAAATTCATAACACTCTCTCAAATCAAGAAAAGATATCTGTGATGATGATATAAGAACGCCATTGCACGAGTAATTCAGTATCTCAATGAAAACCTCATTTCGATCGGCATTCACTAGGAAGAGGAAAGGATAGAACCCTCAAACTGTAGCCAAAAAATCAAGTCAAGATTGAGCTCTGTAGGTTACGTGATGATCGAGCCATAATTGTCTAGGAAAGTTTAATTCATTGTTACCAGACCTCATAGAAGATAATTAGTCACTTAGACATTAGATAGTCCGTCTTCACTAGTTGTGCAGACCATAGCACATCTTTAAAATAGTTTGGTGGTCGTGCATATGATATTCCTTGGTTTCCTGACGTAACCTTGCAAGGGCGTTTTCAGGTCTTCACAATATCGTTTCCAAGGAATGGATTCCGGCAATGGATCCTTGGCCGGCCTTTACTCGTTGGTTCGGAGATGATGCCAGGTCGAAATCAAAAGCAGAAGTAGGAAAGAAAATCAACCGACCTCTTAGGGTTGATGTAAAAGCCGAAATCGACCTCATGAAAGGCTTGAAACATATTGTCAGACTATCAGATTATTATTGTTTTTGAACGAGGTCCATATAAGCAGTCGAACGTAAAGGAACTCATATTTATAATAATGATTATGAAACGATTATGAAGTATGAAATAAGAGCTATTTGATTCTTTCCGTTGTAGATGTAAT